CTACAAGTGCAAATCGGTCCCTTATTTCAGTTAATGCATGATAATGCACGACCGCACACCGCAAGAGTTGTAAGACAGACTCTCGCCGCAGCTAACATCAATGTCCTGCCCTGGCCTGCTCAGTCGCCAGACTTGAACCCGATTGAGCATGCATGGGATATGCTACAGAGAAGAGCTCTGCCGAATATGGAGGGTATCCAGTCGCAAGAAGACCTTTTTTTGTTGTTGCAACGAACATGGGCGGCCATTCCACAGCGTGATTTGGATGAACTCATTTTGAGTATGCCAAACCGATGTTCTTGTGTTGTTAGTGTTCGCGGTAGAAATACGGATTATTAATTGTTTAAGTTACCCAATAAAATTTTAGAGAAAACTGTTATTTCAGTCTTTTTTTCGAACTTTTGTGTTAGTGGTTCAAATGTCAAAAATCCCTTTGTTGGGAAAATGGCAAATTTCTTTATAAATGCAAAGGTGACTTGGTTTATCGTTACTGTGACAAACGAAAACACTTTATTTGATGAATCTTTAAAGAAAATTTTAATTAATATCAATCAGGAGAAAAGTTATTGCAAAAATATATGTTGATCCCTAGACACTTTTGATGTGTGTATGTCATCGATTTTAATAAAAATTAAAACTGCATTCATACATTTAAGAAAAACCCTGTGGTCAGCTCGGGAATCGAACCCGGTCGTTTTGAAAAAAAAAACTAACACTATTTTCTATTTCTATTTATTAGTAAGATAAGTGACAAACGAAAACACTTTATTTGATGAATCCTTAAAGAAAATTTTAATTAATATCAATCAGGAGAAAAGTTATTGCAAAAATATATGTTGATCCCTAGACACTTTTGATGTGTGTATATATAAAACACAAAGGTGACTGACTGACATAGTGATCTATCAACGCGCAGCCCAAACCACTGGACGGATCGGGCTGAAATTTGGCATGCAGGTAGATGTTATGACGTAGGCATCCGCTAAGAAAGGATTTTGATTAATTCTACCCCCAACGGGATAAAATTGGGAATGAAAGTTTGTATGAAACTTTGTTAATTTTAAACCGATCGGGCTGAGCCTTTGCATGCAGGTATAAGAAGAATCATAGATGAATGATGTCATTGTGTATAATACAAGCCTGAGAACAAAAACTGTAGTCTACACTTCAGCTCTACACCGAAGCGAAGCGAGGGCGGGCCGCTAGTTAAAAATAAATTCAACATTAATTGGTCTAATGGAGGAAAGGGACATTAATATTTTTTGAAGTTATACTTCTTTAGGCGCGTTATGAAAAAATGATGAGAGTGAAATTTAAGATGCGCGCGCATCACTGTAACACAAAATTTTAACAGCATGAAGTTGGTCGCTTTAGCGACCAACTTCATGCTGTTACTTTTGTGTTTACCGCACATTAAGAAAATCTACCAACAAATTAGAAATAGAATCTCTATTTAGTGGGTGCTAACGACTGCATTGTGAAGGCCTATCAAAAGTATTTATTAATCTGGAACAACGGAACCAAAGTGCGATTCAGGAGACTACAGCGCCATCTCTTGACCATTGGTGTAGTAGAACCAAAAACCACATCTTTATTTTTTGTAATAAAGTAACAGTTATAGGTATTCATATTTATAATATTTATCCACATGTTTCTAGTTTGTATATTCGGAATACGTGTTTGAGTTTCATACAAGTGCAAATCACATATGTTCTAATAAATTATATTCAGTAGCGATTTTAATTGAATATTTTGATTATTTATTTATTTTTTCAAATTAAAACTGAACTTTATTGACTGTGTCCTTTTCCAGACTTTTTATGAATTTATTGTAATTAATTATTTGCATGCAATTAAAAACTAATTTTAAACGATGCCAAAGAAGGATAACTTCTCACGCGCCTACATAAGTACACGCACCCATTTTTTTATCAAGAAAAGGACAACAATACGACTCAGCCGTCTGTAAAGAGAGAAAAGAAAACGCAGTCGGCTGCAAAGTGACGCGGACTTGCGCCGTTTTACTCGCGCTGCGTTGAAGCGTGTAGTTCTGTCTCGCTCGCTCGATTAAAGGTTTATTTACAGAAGTGTGCGTGTGTGAGAGTTGCTTATGTAGTTGAGTCGGATCATATGAGCGTACCGTATCTTCCCTTTTTGTTTTAATCTAAGGAACACAGGTCGTTGGCTGTCTGATGCAATATTATTAATACAATACTAGCAAACCAGTGAACCAAATGTTCACCAAAACCTGATTAAAAAAAAATGTATTTAATTAATTGAGAACTTCGGAGATTTTGTGTGGTTTCATTTGAAATTCGTGAATTCTCGAAAACCGGAAGTGCTACGTTAGTCAAATCCGATTTGTAGTCTTATCAGACTATTCTTAACTTATAACTTAAACATTCTCTTTATCTATCTCTTACGGTTTGGCCGCTGAAACAGCACCACAGACGGACGGACGGACTTGTCTAATAGATAAGAGATGCCCGCAGGTTCGCACATTGTACTAATCAGGTTAAACACACTATATAAAGCATATTGTCTGTCTTCTTACACATGCAGCCTGGGGTTGGACTATACGTAGAGGACCTACAGCGACAATAATGCATGCTGATGGGGCTGCCGCGCTTTTGTAGTGCCTCAGGCATGTTTGCAAGGTGTGCATCTATGCTGGGGCACTGCGCGCCAGCTCCAACGGCATCCTGAGAACACGCTGGGACAGTTCAATGTCAAAGCGCTGGCGTACCTTAGGTAGGTAATAATAATAATGTAGGTACTTACCTAAGTATATATTTATATTTCATTTTTTAATTGAATCTATTAAGTAATAGGCTAGTTGACTCATGTCAAATTGAATTATACACAAGTTTATTTGTTATAATTTTTGGTATGTGGAACGTAAATACTTATATTGATTTCACTTCATAAAATTAGAAGAGGGCTGTAGTAATTTAATTTGAAAAAATGATTTTTAGTCTATGCTTTTTAAACACTAAAAATGCTGTCCACCATGATAGTGACGTCAAAATTTGTAAACAACTAAACGTCATTGTCGTGTTACTGTGGTTTCTTTCGTCGGACTAAAATATATCTAAAAACTCTAATATCTTGTAGAAAAGTTTCTGTTTAAATCTATAGGTCACGGTAGCATAGTTGGTCAGTGCGTCCGCCCGGTGAGCGGAGGATGCGGATTCGAGTCCCGTCTGCTGCCTGGAGTGCGTGGTTTTTTTTCTACTTATTTTTTCTTTAGATTTTTGAATTGATAGAATGACCGAAGCATACCGATCACTTTACAGCTTATAGCGTCTACTTGTGCTCTCCAATTGAGAGAATGGTCAATCTGTATGCCCAGGTCTACAACTTGAAGAGAAAACTTTATTAGGGTTCCCTTCAAAGTAGAGATAAAATCAGCAAGGACTGTTTTTTTTTTGTATATAAAACAGGGACAAAAAAACAGCCCTTGCTAAGTTTCTTGTCGGTTCTTCTCAGTACAAGGTCTCCCGCCGTAGATTTGCGAACCGATGGCGTAGCTTTTCGGCATTCGCAATTGCTTGTAATCATAATCAAAATCATTTATTCAGTTTAAGCTAATAATAAATAAATAATTTAACAAGCACTCATGAATGTCTAGAACAGTGATTCCCAAAGTGGATAGACCACCCCTAGGGGTCTATGACATCCTGCAAGGGGTCTACGTCAGCGAAAAAAATCAATATCAGGTAAGTAGGGGGTCTACCCAACACGGAAAAACATGGCAGGGGGTCTACGACACAAAAAAGTTTGGGGAACTCTGGTCTAGAAGCTACGCCATCGGTTCGTAAATCTACGGCGGGAGACCTTGTACTGAGAAGAACCGGCAAGAAACTTGTAACAGTCTAGACCGAATAAACGATATTGAATTTTTGAACATTTTTTTGAAGTACGGAAAAAATCCATAAAAAAGCCAGACTCGCTAATGGCCCACGGTTTTGTGCACTATACTACAAGTAATGGCTATTGTAGAGTTAATGATTATCTTAATGATCATAATGCATGGACATAGTGTTTCTTGTAATGTAAGTAATGATATTGGATATTTTTCTTAATAATGTGGTAGGTATCTGAAGCCGCTTCCTATATACCTCCTACAATAGGGGTGATGACAGGGTACAGTAAACGAAATTCTATTTAGTCCGTCAGTTAGATGATCGAAAAATAATGGACACGTATTTTTTCTTTGGGCAATCAACCAAAAAATGACAAAGTTATAGCGCGTCAAAGTTTGGGAGTAGGGGCTCGTGACGTCACTTTTTAATGAATTTTCACTTAAAAGTGTACTCAAACGTGACGTGATGCGACTTTTCAAATGAATATATCTCTGCAATGTTTATATTATGTGAAAAAAGAACAAAATACGTGTCCAACACTCTTTGATAATCTACCTGATAAACGAAAAAAAAATTTGTCATCATCCATATTGTAAAGCTCACTATAAAACCTATTGTATATAGCTATATTTTAAATTATGTAATGGAAGGTGACTTCAGAATAAAATTATCTCTGAAGTTATTTTTCAACATGCAAAGAACACGACAAAAAATCACGTCTGTTGTATGGGAACCACTAAAATAATTATTGTATGCTGTTTCTTTAATTTGTTGTTATGGTGCCAGCAATTATTACTGTGAAAATTCCAACTGTCTCGGGTCATGAGGTACAACAGCTTGGTTACAGACAGACAGACGGACAGAGGAGTCTTAGTAATAGGGTCCCGTTTTTACTCTTTGGATGCGGCACCCCAAATAAATACCTATATGCAAATAAGTACTTAGAATTAGAATTTATTTATTTGCATTTGAATAGGGTACACTGGGGATCTTACAAATTTTGAAGTTCGGCTCATTCTGCCATCTTAAATAGCATGCAAATATTTTACACTACATTACTAAATAAAATACATATTAATTTACATTGTGAAATATTTTTTTAATATCAATAATAATAAATTTAATTTGACTTACGTTTGATATTTTCAGTAAAAAAACCCACGCCTTATATGTTTCTTCGCTAAGCTCCTTTTAACAAGCGCAGTCAACAATCCGAAACATCAATTATTTTGCTAATCTTTATATAAACACACTTTATTTATGAATTATATTAATTTTAAACACTTTTTTACTTTTTTTATAACAGTTTTCTTATATCTGAAGATACATTTTTAACCCAATTGATTAGGATTCTATTTTATTTTAAATTTAATAAATAATTAACTTTCTGTAAGACTTTATATTTTGATATTTTAATATAAATTTACTTAATAGTGAACGAAATTTTCCAAAAAAATCTTTTTTATTATCAAATAATTTATGCAACTATTTTTCACGTGCAACTTGTGTTATTTGTGTGTTTCTTTCCAATTCTTACGTAATCGTTTTTAATATTTATTTTACAGTTAGAGACAAAATAACCGTCTGCCACTAAGGACTATGCAGCCACAAATATTCTGTGAGCAAAACGTGTTTATACTAATAAAATAAACACATAAGTACACTTTGCTTTACCTAATGTAACCTTGCATCATCCGCCGACTCGGTAGCCTTTTCAATTCAAAGAAACTAACACAGAAGTGACTTCTTATGCTATGTACTTATTATGCTTAAGCTTTTTCCATGCCATGACGGTGATGAACAAACATACCTACCGCCAACTGGGTAAGCACTTCAGATTCTCATTGCTACCTATTCTTAAAACGATGTTTGCTAAAATAAAACCCGGCTTCATAAAAACAAAACCATTTTAAAGGTAAGAAATATTGTAAACAATCAGCCAAAGATTTGAAATCTTTGCAATCAGCATTGCATTTAATGACCGTTTCCAAGGACGCCTTAAACACCCTCTTCTCCTAGGAGAAGACGCGAGGAGACGTGGGCGACCGGGAGGGGGGAGAGGGATGGGAAGAACTACGCTTCCCCTCCCGTTCCCCCCTTCCAGGAACGGCGGCCCCCCCACTCGTAGTTCCGTCCTACAAAGGGGGGCTGCGGAGGGTTCTTGGACGGGGACGCCGAGGAGTCCCCTCCGCAGCGGATGGGGGGCGGTACGGTGGGCATTAGGCCGCGTACCCAGCCCCCACGCGCGGGCCTACCTGCGCCCGTCTGCGGGGTCCCCGTAATACCTCGGGAGACCCCTGCCGTGGAGCCCCGGCGAGGCCGGGAAGCTGCTGGGTGCGGAGCCGTGGTAGAATCCCTAACGGGGACCCCGCGGCTTCGCATTAAGCAGTGTAGAAGGTATTTGCAGGACTTTTTTAGCGGATATTATACTTTAAAGCGCCCGTAAGCGTTGCGTTGGACTCAGATCTATCCAACATGCATGGCCCCGACTGCAAAGGAGGGGTCTCCTTTTCGAAGCTCAAATGGACAGTAAATGTCATGCCCTGTGTGGAATGAAGAGGGGAGAGTTCCAGATTTCGAGATAGTATACCGATATTTACTAAGTTTGAAAATTTTGGATTTTAATTATCTAACAAGTAAACCCCGCGACAACCTTTTATCGTAATACTAGTGGCCCGCCCTCGCTTCGCTTCGGTGTAGAGCTGTAGCGTAGACTAAAATGACTTAATATAATTTTAAAAAAAACTGAAAATGGTATATTTGCCTTTGTCAAACTTTTACTGACATCACGTCACTCAATTGTTTTGCCTTCCCGGAACCTCTCTATTAACATTTGAAATTGATGGTATGGTATTAAAGTTCAAATTGACTTTTAAGTATTATTACGAATCGTTTGTATGGGAGTATAGAAAAGTGTTGTTTTTGGACATTTTACGGCATTTTTTTTTTAATTATTCCCTGCGTAAGAACCATCCTCATACTTCAAGGAATATCCTAAAAAAAGAATTATCGAAATCGGTTCAGTGATTCATTTTTATATTATAGATATATAAATTACGCGTAATGTTGTTTGTCCGGTATGGACTCCTAAACTACTTAACCAATTTAAATCAAATTTGCACACCGTATTCAGTTTGATTCAACTTAAAAGATAGGATAGCTTTTTAAATAATTGAACACAAACTACAATATAAAAGAAACAGTGCAAGTATTTTTTTTATTTAATTTATACTCTTTATTGCACACAAAAATTGTAAGATACAAAACATAAATATGTGAGCAAAGGAGGGCTTATCTCTAAGAGAGATCTCTTCCAGCCAACCAAGGTTTAGTGAGAGAAAACAGTAAGCGGGTGTAGGGATGTGCACTAAGTACTTACTTGCAGATACCTATCTAAGACTACATACATAAATATATATTCATATGTATATACACAAATACTTACAATAAATACATACATGCACACATACATACATATATATACATATACATACATACACTATAAAATAATAAATACACATTACATGAAATTATGTTAAGATAAAACAAAGAGTGTATTTATCAAATGTTCAAAATATGTTCCATTCTGCAGTCTGTATACACATCTCTCTCTTTTCATAATTTATCTGTCTGTCGATTAACCGAACTTTGCGTGGTGAATGTTTGAAATAATACGTGTCAGTTATATTATTTGTTATGGTTTTATTTATTTTTAAGCATTTAACTGCTAGATGTTTAAATCTAAAGAAAAGTTTACTAGAAAAAAATCCACGCGGACCAGGCAGCGGACGGGACTCGAACCCGCATCCTTCGCTATCCGCTGCCTGGTCCGCGTGGATTTTTTTTTTTTCTAGTAAATTTTCATTAGATTTATATATTATTTGTTTTTTAAAAATTCAACTGCTAGATATATAAAACTAAAGAAAATATTACTAGAAAAAAAATCCACGTGGACCAGGCAGCAGACGGGACGTGTAAGTTTATTGAAAAACCTTTACATAACCCCACAAAATAGCAAGTCGCATTGTGACCTCATCAAGAAATGCATACAAGTACCTACTACAGTTTGTATAAGTATCGCTTTATTATTATTTTCACGTACTAATATAAAGGAAATCTTGTATTATTAAGTGAGCAGTTAGTAAATACTTCGAAATGATAATATTAGTTGTTGGAAGCGCGGCAAAGTAAGAGAATCTACAATGTGAAGAGATGGCGCTGCCTTGCAGCTTAAGACTAGGAAAATTTCGACGCGGCCTTCAGGGCCGTGGTAGCATAATTGGTCAGTGCATTCGCCCGGATTGCGAAGGGTGCGAGTTCGAGTCCCGTCCGCTGCCTGGTCCGCTTGGATGATTTCTAGTAAACTTTTCTTTAGATTTAAACATCTAGCAGTTAAATGCTTAAAAAAACATAATGTAATATTTGTTTCTTAGGTTTTCACACACATCACTCATTAAATAAAAAAAATCATTATTCTGACGATGCAGACCGCTGAAAGGCTGCGAAACGTCAATAAATAAATAAAGTTTCGTGCATTAACCCGTAAAAACTAGTTTTATATAATGTAACTAGCTGACTCGGCGAACTTCGTACCGCCCAAAAGTAATAATTTGCAATAAATTAAAATTGCGACTATAATTTGAGATTTAAACTATCCTATCTCTCAAGTTGGATCGAACTGCACATGGTCCATTGAGGACAAACATTGTGACACGAGATTTATATATATTAAGATAGATATTTTTTCTAAACAAAAATTTAATTTCATTATCTTTCTTTCATTTAAAATGCTATGTTATTTAGCAAAAAATAATTCTCATGATTAACCTTTTCGATGGTTATCATAAAACACGTCATGTGTTTTTTTTTCAAATTTCACGTGTTTGATTCCCTGTTGTAGCAAGCCATTTAAAAAAAACTGTGAATGCAGTTCTAGTTATTATTAAAATATAAATGATGTTCTTCTTTCAGTAAAATATCCTATCTTCAATATTTAATTTACTTTTACGGGACGAAACGAAAGCCTGTATAGTCCCAGTACCCCTAGCACGAACCTATATCGAATTCGTATCGTTTGCGAGTCCGAAATGTCATTGTCAAATGTGTACTGATTTTAGTTCCCGTTATGTACTATGTGGCGCTGCTGTTCGAGTTTCCATACAAAATTTGACATTGACATTTCGGTTTGCAAACTATTCGAATTCTATAATGGTTCGTGCTGAGATAAAACTATCTGAACTACAAACTGCTTCCCGCTTCTCGCCAACTCTTTTGTAGTTCTACTCGCTTCTCGTTCATTGTCGACAATGGGACATCGTTGGCAATGAGGATCTTGATGGTGCAGGTGGTTAGCGCGTTCGGCTGCGATCGTTGAACTTAAGCAACCTTCGGAGTGGTCGGTTATTGGATGGGTGACCAAAAATCTTCTATCTCGAGTTCCTCCGTGATTCGGAAAGCACGTTAAGCTGTCGGTCCCGGCTGCATCTGCAGTCGTTAGCATCCACCAATCCGAAGTGGGCCCACGTAGTGGTTCACGGCCCAATCTCCCTATTCCATCCATAGGGAAGGCCTGTGCCCCAGCAGTGGGGACATTAATAGAGTGATGATGATGAATGGGACAAGTGTCTTAGCATTAGATCGAATGACCTTATATCAAGTACCTGACTTACCTGAGTGCTAACAAAATAGTGAATTTAACAATTTCAGAACAATGACAATAGGCAATCTAAGTTATTGGGTACTTACCAGTGGTACTTACTATTCACCGACAGAACATATTGAGTCGACACTGGTGTCGATTCTGGTTTGATACTAAATTTAACATCAGTCTCTCCTTTTCATTCTGTATAGAGAATGACAAGGATACACTGTTGTCAAATTTAAGTTTAGATTTTGAGAATCGTGCCAGAATCGACACCGCTAACTATATTGCTCAATATTTAAATGTTATTGTGGGAGTAAATCAAAAGCTAACATTGGCTTGAATCACAAGAACAATAAATTCATACACTTTGTCGTAAGACGATTTTATAAATCGAATCTTCGCGAAAAACGAGGATAATTAAACAATGGCGATGTCATATCTTAATTTTACTGAAAAAAGATAGGATTTTTGCGAAAGTGCAAGTTGAAACTTTGTTAAAGATAAATAAATAAATTGCCTCTGTTAGACTGCGAAAAGAATGGTTAATATTTTTGGGTTCATTCTAGGATAGGTTAGTGTTGGGCTATTACGCACGTACCAAGCGAGCGTAGCGAGCGTGCCGCGGCAGCAACCGGCGATGTGCCAGAAAAAAATTGAAGCATGATTG